GGCTTCTTTGAGGATGACTGCGAGGTACTTGACTTTGCTGATCAGCGCGTTTGAGGACGCTTGACTCACACTAAGTCTGCGCTTCTATGCTCGGGAATGGGCATGGATCTGCCTGTACTCCTTCAGATCGAGTCTGATGACTTCGCTTTGAGATAGTTCGACGGCACTGCTTGGCAGTTCGATTGCTATACGTTATCGCCGGTAGTTACTGCTCGGATATGGCTGGTGTCTCGGGTATGGCACTGCACTGCTTCGGGATTTGAGCTTTGGTCTGGCATGGGATGGCTTCTTTGCTCGATCTGCTTGGTATCTTTATGGCTGCATATTTTATGTAGATCTGCCTCGGGTTGCAAGCGAGCTCTCAACGTACTAGGCGCACGCACAGCCTTATTGGGCGCCGAACCAATTCAAATCATGCGCCCAAATCTTGTGGTCCCCGATCTGAACCTTCAACTGTCTGACATAACCAGAGTCTCTCATCCGCGTGCTCAGCATCGTAAGACACAGCAACAGAATGCCTGCGATCAACACGTCCATGCCATTATATTAATGCAGTTCCATTAGTTCCCCCTACCAAACCAAATGCTCTTCCCGTTTGCTCAAACGCCCCGAATGATAAGCCTCGCAGTAACATGTCCCACCACTCCCATTCTCGATCACATCTACGCCTTCTTCTTGCCGGCAGCGGCCTTGGCCTTGGCGGCCTTCTTCCTGTTGCTCCGGATCATGACGACGCTGAGGAAGGACCCCACCACGGCGCAGCCGAGCAGGATGAGGATGATGGGTATGCGGATGGCCCAGACGCGAGGGGGGAAGACGTTTTGGAGCGGGTGGTTGGAGTCGACGAAGGGCTGTAACAAAGAATGTGTTAGTTGAGGCAAAGGGGAAGAGAATAGGGGAGGGCGGAGGAGCAGGGCATAAGTACCATGAGAAGAGTCCAAATGGAGTAGTAGAGGAAGACGACGGAGGCGGCCACGAGCATGGCGAGGCCGATGAGTTTGTCGAGCTGTGACCGGGGAGCCGTTAGCATTGGGGGCAATTTGCATGAAGGGGTGCAGAATACGAACCATTGTAGAGTAAACCGTCCTTCGAAACTTCTTGAATGAGGGTAGAGAAGAAGTGAAACACGGCGGTACAAGTCGTGGGTTCTGGTGGTGATGTTCGACTCGAGGTGCGAAGCTGTCAAGTGTCCAGAGTCCAGAGTGGACAAGCTTTTGGTGGACCAATACCGCGAAATCAGGGGTACCTGTGCGCTGGCTGGCAGTCGCGTCCGTGCCAAAAGCCGGGGTTCTACCGGAACTAGCCGTCAGCCTCAAGTGGACCGTGCGCGGGTGAAGTTGAGAGGGAGTGGAGAAAGAGCAGATCTCCAAAACTTTTGGTTGCTCGGCGCCTTGCAGTGACTTCAATCCTGGCACCACCATCGTGAAGCCTCGCTTCCGGTCACCTGCGTTCATCACTTACGGAACTGCTACCCTCGCAAAACCGACGCTTACTTTTACTCCGACATATCATCTAGCCTTAGACCGCCAAACAACGCCTGATGCAATAATCTAGAGTTCCTTGCCTGCCACATCGTCCGCCACGATGGCTTCAGCCGAGACCCTCCCGACACGCCACCTCGACGACCGCTCTCCTCCACCACGTCCTCGCTCGCCCCGTCGCGATCGCTCTCCTCCCCGGCGAGATGGCGGCGACAGCTACCGACCTGGTCGGGACACCGACCGCGCTGGCCCAAGCCGCGACAACAACAACGACCGCGACCGTCCTGCCCGGCGAGAGCCTCCACCCCCCGCCCCCGTAAAGACCGAGGAGGAGAAGCAGGCAGCCGCAAAGGCAGAGTACGAGAAACTCCTGACAATGCGCTCGGGAGGCACCTACATCCCCCCCGCCCGGCTGCGCGCGCTGCAAGCCCAGATCACGGACCGCAGCAGCAAGGAGTACCAGCGCATGGCCTGGGAGGCGCTGAAGAAGTCCATCAACGGCCTGATCAACAAGGTCAACGTGTCCAACATCAAGCACATCGTGCCCGAGCTGTTCGGCGAGAACCTCGTCCGCGGCCGCGGCTTGTTCTGCCAGAGCATCACCAAGGCGCAGGCGGCCAGCTTGCCCTTCACGCCCATCTACGCGGCCATGGCGGCCATCGTGAACACGAAGCTGCCGCAGGTCGGCGAGCTGCTCGTCAAGAGGCTCGTGCTGCGGTTCCGCAAGGCGTACAAGCGGAACGACAAGGCCGTGTGCCTGGCCACGACGACGTTTATCGCGCACTTGGTCAACCAGCAGGTTGTGCATGAGACGCTGGCTGCGCAGATATTGGTCCTGTTGCTGCAGAAGCCGACGGATGACAGCGTCGAGATTGCGGTGGGACTGACGAAGGAGGTGGGACAGCATTTGGAGGATATGAATCCGGAGATTGCGAGGATCGTGTTTGATCAGTTCAGGAATATTCTGCACGAGGCGGATATTGATCGGAGGGTGCAGTATATGATCGAGGTGCTGTTTCAGATCCGGAAGGACAAGTTCAAGGATAACCCTGCTGTCAAGGAGGAGCTGGACTTGGTTGAGGAGGAGGACCAGATCACGCATCAGATCTCGTTGGACGGAGAGATTGATGGCCAGGACACGCTGAACATCTTCAAGTTTGACCCGAACTGGGAGGAGAACGAGGAGGCGTACAAGAGGTTGAAGGCGGAGATTCTCGGAGAGGGCAGCGATGATGACGACGAGGAGGATGACGACGAGGAGGAGTCATCTGATGAAGAGGATGAGGAAGTCAAGGCACTCGAAATCAAGGACCAGAGCAACGCGGACTTGGTCAACCTCAGGCGAACCATCTACCTGACCATCATGTCGAGTGCCGACCCCGAGGAATCGACGCACAAGCTGATGAAGCTCCGACTGCCGCCTGGCCAGGAGCACGAGCTTGTCAGCATGATTGTCGAGTGTTGCGCTGAGTCCAAGACCTACCTCAAGTTTTATGGCTTGATAGGAGAGAGGTTCGCGCGCCTCAACCGGATGTGGTGCGATCTCTTCGAGGAGTCGTTCTGCAAGTACTACGACACGATCCACAGGTACGAGACCAACAAGCTGAGGAATATTGCCCGGTTCTGGGGTCACTTGCTCGCTACGGACGCAATCGGCTGGCATGTTCTGTCGATCATCCACCTGAACGAGGAAGAGACGACGTCCGCCAGCCGTATCTTCATCAAGATCCTGTTCCAGGATCTGGCGGAGAACATGGGCATGAAGAAGCTGGAGACCCGTATGAAGGAGGACATGCTGCAGCCGAGCCTGGAGGGCATCTTCCCCCACGACAACCCCCGCAACACGCGCTTCTCCATCAACTACTTCACCAGTATCGGCATGGGTGCGCTTACCCAGGAGATGCGCGAGTTCTTGCAGAATCAACCCAAACCGGCGCCACCTGCGCTGCCTGCTGCAGACTCAGACTCGGAGTCTGTGTCCAGCTACTCATCATACACCGGATCTTCGTACTCCTCCCGCTCGCGGTCGCGGTCTCGCACTCCACCACGCAAGGCCATCGATCGCAGGCGCTACGAATCGAAGTCGCCACCGCCCCGCCGCGGTAGGAGTTACACGCGGTCGCGGTCAGTATCAAGTCGTGGCCGGTCAACGTCGCGCTCGGTGTCCCGCCCTGCTCGGCGCGACAGCTACTCGCGGTCGCCGAGCCCAGCACCGCGCAAGGGCCGTGCGGCACGCTACTCTCGTTCCCCCTCTTACTCGTCGAGGTCACGATCTCGCTCTCCCCCGCCTCCTCGCGCCGTCGCCGCGCGCAGGAGGAGCCCATCCATCTCGCGATCACCAACCCCACGAAGACGAGGGTCATCAGTCAGCGACCGCGGCAGGAAGCGCGGGCCGTCATACACGCCCAGCCCCAGCCCGCGAGGCAGGAGAAACACCTCGTCCCCCAGCCCACGGCCGAACAAGCGTCGCGCGGCCTCATACTCGGCCAGCCCATCTCCCCCGCGCAACAAGAAGCGGTACGGCGGTAGCTACAGCCGGTCGAGATCGCCTCCGCCGGCAAGAGGCGGGAGGGCCACCGCGGACAGTCGATCGCCTTCCCCGCCGCCGAGACGGGGTGCCCCCGCTAGGAGGGACTCTTACTCCGATCAGTCGGTTAGTCAGAGTCGTAGCGTGACTCCGCTGCCGCCTGTCGGGAGGAGGAGGGAAGATACCAGGTCGCCTAGTCCGGTGGTCGCTGCGGGGAAGAGGAGGAGGAGGAACAGTAGCTCGAGCAGGTCGAGGAGTCCGCTTCCGCCGCCGGTCAAGAGGGGACGGGTTTCGAGCTAGAAACCGAGGCTGTCCAGATCGGCGGCTGTGGGTTATGGGTACGATAGGGCGAGTGGAATGGTCGAGGACCTCTTGAGACGGGAGGGGGTAGTGAAGGAAGAGGATACTCAGGGGAGAGAGAAGGCCAGGAGGACGGTTAGCAGCCACAGCAGGTCGAGGAGCCCGAGGCCGAGATCGTCTGCTTTGGCGGCGGTGTCTGGACCTGATCGGGCAAATGTGATGGTGGATGAGCTTTTGCTGCGTGAGGGGATGCTGAAAGCAGAGCAGGCCCAAGGCGGAGGAGAGATTGATGGCAATTTAAAGATTGAGCCTAGGGTTAAGATCGAGAAGCAAGAGTAACTGAATTGAGAACGAGGGGCTTGAGTTGTATCATAATTGGCGTTGCATTCAGGAGAGGACGCGGTGGAATAGCTCTAAAATGGTGCCTGTATGAGCTAGTTGCATTGGAAGGGTGAAGAATGAAGCATGCATTTCAAGTTCAAAGGACCGAAAGCTCTGCTTAGCATCCTATATGTGATGTGGTGTGCAGCTGGTAATAGGGGGGAGAAGCGACTAGTCTAAGCGGAAATAGAGAATAATGCAAGCACCCGCTGGCCGCTACAAATTTAGGCATATTAGCTCCCAGTCACACCTATAAAGTGCAAAAATGAATCTCTCACCAATGCTCAGAGGCACTCGTAAGATATCGTAGTTGACCAACCCCGGGATCGAACCGGGGACCTTTTCGGAGCTTCACACTTGTTAAAATGTGAGCGAAACGTGATAACCGCTACACCAGTCGGCCAGGCGCGATATCGGAACAGGCGATTAATGGTCGCTAGGTGTGGGCGGCTTGCATTGGCATGGTGGTGGACACTTGGGGCGGACTCAGGAGCTCAGGGGCTGGAACTTTATCGCGAAGCGGGGCCGCTTTATCCTGCATCTGCGCCTCAACTCCTAACGAAAGCACCGAAGCTGAGCTCAGTCAGGAACATTCACCACCATTCGCATCGCACAATTCTCTTCGATTCGCAATCGATTCCAGCTGCAACTTGCATCTCCACCCCGTAACCAACGATTTTACACATCAATCCGACATCTGTAACCCATGGCAGGCCGCTTCGTGCGAGCGTCGAAATATCGTGAGCTTCCCCCCAAGAATCCGCAGACCGAGCTTCGAAGCTTTGCGCCCGCTTCTCGCATTGTGCTGACTGAGTGCTTCTCCCTATCCAGGACACGTCTTTGGCAAGCCGACAAGGAAGGAGTTCTGCTATGACAACCTCCACATCAGTCGAAATGCCTGGGATACCAATCTCGTAAAGGTAAAATAAAGGACAATCCCTTTATCGTCGTCGATGTAGCTTCGGAAGCTGACACGTGCCCCCTCGACAACCAGGCCAACCCCGAATACCTCTCGGTCAATTGGGAGTCCAGCGGTGGCGGCGCCTTCGCCGTCATCCCCCTCAACGAGAAGGGCAAGGTCCCCGACCAAATACCTCTCTTCCGCGGCCACACTGCCACCGTCCTCGATACCGACTGGAACCCTTTCAACGACCGAATCATCGCCTCCGGATCCGACGATGGCAAGGTTTTCATATGGGAGGTACCCGACAACTTCACTCTCCATGTGGACCCCGAAGAGTATGAGGATGTCTCACCCTTCTCCAAACTGACCGGACACTCGAGAAAGGTCGGCCAGGTCCTCTTCAACCCGGCGGCGGAGAACATCCTCGCCTCCGCCTCGGGTGACTTCACCATCAAACTCTGGGACATCAGCACCGGCCAGTCCCACCTGACGCTCAAGCACGCCGACATTGTGCAGTCCCTCTCTTGGAGCGCCGACGGCGGCTTGATGGTTACCACCTCCCGCGACAAGAAGCTGCGCGTCTGGGACGTGCGCCAGGAGAAGCCCGTCCACGAGTACCCGGGCCACGAGGGCGCCAAGAACAGCCGCGCCGTTTGGATGGGCGAGCACAACCGTATTGCTACCACGGGCTTCTCGCGCATGAGCGATAGGCAGATTGGTCTGTGGGAGCCTGGCAGGAAAGATCCCATTGGCGGGTTCACCATGCTCGATTCCATCTCAGGTGTGTGCATGCCGTTCTGGGATGATGGGTCGAACTGTCTGTACTTGGCTGGCAAAGGGTAAGTGGTCTCTTCGTGTTCGGGGGCAACAATGATCTATGACTAACAGACGGCAGTGACGGCAACATCCGCTACTTCGAGTACGAGAATGACAAGTTCGAGTTCCTGTCCGAGTTCAAGTCGGGCGAGCCGCAGAGAGGTATCGCCTTCCTGCCCCGGCGCGGCATTAACGTGCACGAGAACGAGGTCATGCGCGCGTTCAAGACCGTCAACGACTCCTACATCGAGCCCATTTCCTTCACTGTGCCCAGGAGGGCCGAGACCTTCCAGTCCGACATCTTCCCGCCCGCCGTCGGTACCAAGCCCGGTGTCTCTGCCTTGGACTGGCTGAACGGCAAGACGGCCCTGCCGGCCAAGATCGACCTCGAGAGCGTCTACGACGGCACGGCCCCGGTCGAAGTGGCCTCCGACTACAAGCCACCAGCGGCCGTTGCCGCCCCTGCACCGGTATCCAAGCCTGCGCCGAAGAAGGAAGAGCCCAAGCCCGCACCTGTTGCCGCAGCGCGCTCTCCTCCCTCGACTGCCGACCAGAAGGCATCCATCTCCTCCATGGCAGATAAGTACAAGGCGGACGAGTCCTCAGAAGAAGAGGACGACGACGCCGAGACCTCCTCCTTCGAGGAGATCCCCAAACCCGTCCAGCGCACCGTCACCCAACCCAAACCCGCACCCTCCGTCCAACCCGCCGCCAAGCCTACCCCCGCGCCCTCATCCCCCGTCAAGACGTCTTCCCCCGTAACCCAAAGGGCACCCGAGCCGGCGGCCTCCTCTTCTCAGCCCGCCGCGAAGCCCATCTCCCAGACCGCCGCGGCCGCCGGCTCGAGCCTGGAGCAGTCCCTCGAGACGATCAAGCAGCTCCTCGAGCAGCAGACCAAGATAATAAGCAACCAGAGCGAGCGCATCAGCCAGCTCACGGCCGAGGTGGAGACGCTCAAGAAGAGGGTGGGCAACGGCCCCGCCGCGCCGCAGGACCAGAGCGAGAGGATCCGGCAGCTCGAGTTGGAGCTCGAGGCTGCCCGATCGTGAGAGGGAACGAGTTGGCAAGGGGAGATGGATGGATGGTCGGAAGGTGCCGCCATGTCGTAGGGGTGTTGGATCTGGAGGGGCGTGAGAGCTAGAGGGGAACCTTGGAATGAGCAGGCGGTTTGGTTTGCGTGCGTGTTCCGTTGTTTTACAGCTCTTTGGTATTTTTGCGTGTGGGCGTGCGAAAGTGACGAATTGAAATGATATGGTCTCTTTGTCCGAAGCGTGTGCCGCGCGTGGTGTTGGGAATGCTTGGTCGTCGTTGTTCGTCAGGGTCCAGCTCGCACAAGTACAATCAGGTTGGGATGGTATATGATCTTTCCTATTTGCTTCTCGTTCCCTCTGTGATTCTGACAATATCCAGTCCTACAGGGACGGTTTCTCACTGTCTGCCCATGCTGTCATTGTTTACTTGTCATGGTACGCTTGTCATGTTCTTCTGCTGTTCGGCGAGACCTACAGCGATTACAATGGCCATCTTTGTCTTCCTTGCAATGTGACAAAGCATTGTCCGTTAGTCAGAGACGAACATGTGCTTTGATGCTTACTCCTTTCACGTCGATCAACTTGATGTCCCCTTTGTTCGGTCAGAGCACTTGTCGGGGCCTTGATTTTTTAGATATAAGCCCCTTGCTTGTGACCGCTCTATATCTCTTCGTAGATCATAACCCAACTGACAGACCTCATTGCTACGGATCATCCAGACATACACTTCTTCATTGACAAATCCTAGGAAGCCCTACTCTACTCTCTACCTATACCAACCGACCTCGCTATCACCACACAACAGACAAGTAAGTCCAGCCCCCTATCCCCGTTTACCATCCATCCACCCCACCCACAACCCAACCCCCCATGTCTCCGCTTCTCCTCCCCGACTTCCCCCTCCTAACCACAACCGGCTCCCTCCCCTCCCCTCCGCGCCCTCCCGCCCCCTCCCCCTACCCACGCGACCCAAACACAGGCACAACAATCTGGTACCCCATCTCCAGCCAGCCAGCGGTGGGGGGGGATCACATCCGCCAGCGCCTCAAGCTCGTCCGGCACCAGATCCACGTCTTCCTGCCCCTCGCCATCGAGGAGGCGGACGAGAACGACCGCGCGAGACAAGAAGTCCGGTACGCGGCGCTGCACGGGCAACGTACGGCTGAAAGGGCTAAGAGGAGGGCAGAGGCTATTAAAAGGTTCGGTAGCGATAACCCCTTCGAGGCGTGGGGGACTGTGGCTGTGCTATCGGAGGACGTGTTTTATCATGAGCCAGTGCCGGTGAGTGTCGCCGCCCTGACGGGGATACCGACCTCGGCTTGGGGTTATGGGAGGGTGTGCATGGCCCACCCCGTTCGGGCGGATCCGAAGAATAATGGTAAGGGGGTGGGTATACCCGTCTTCGCCGGGGAGGTAGGGGAGAAAGGGGGGATGAGCATACTGGAGAAGTTCGACCCCGTCGCGAGGCGGGATAGGACGGAGAAGTTTGATGTCGTGAGGTTCGAGAAGGCGGTGTGGGAGGCCAAGACGATGGGCGGGAGGGATAGGAGGGGACGGTGTTTGAGGTGTAGGGTTAGGGACTTGCCGTGTAGTCTGGAGAGGAAGAGGGGGCCGGAGAAGAAGGAGTGCGAGGGGTGTAGGAGGAATAATTGTGCGTATTGCCTGAGGATCGTGTGCGATCGGGAGACGGCGAGGGTAGCGAGGAAGTTTCCGTGGGTTAAGGTGGGTATGGTGAAGGGGAGGAGGAAAGGGGAGATCGTGGTTTGGGTGAGGGATGATGAGGAAGGGAAGGTAGATGTGGATGAGGTGAGGAAGTGCGCTGAGGAGCTGCTCGAGGGCGAGGGGACGAGGATCTGGGGCATGGCGCTGGATGCGAACGATACGGGTGAGTTGGTGCTGCCGAGCTGGCAGGAGGTGTACTTTGCAGTTGCAAAGTCTGAGGCTGAGAAGGACAAGGCGTTTGTCGACAGCTACCTGGGCTACGAGACTGAGCTGCGGGCGGTCGACATGGAAGACCTGACGTGGAAGGACTGGTTTCAGTTGCAGGAGCAAAGGCGGAGGGCGAGACACCCCTATACCTCACGCGAGGACTGTCATGTGCGGCCTTATCGAAGGAAGCTGGCCGCACCCCCAGACGGTAAGCATACAGACACATAGGCAGATTGGTTCACAAGGCATATTTATTACAGTACAATAATCTAAACACCAGGATTGGCCTCGATCAGTCCTCCCCAAAACAGCGGTGGTGATCATGCCCTCCGCCCGGAAAATCCTGGCAAACGCAATGATATCAGGAAAATCATTTGATACAAGGCCCGCGTCTCATACTTGCGGTTGCAGGCCCCCATCCCATCCAGTTCCCCGTGGAAACCTAAAATGACGCCCTCGAAAAGATAAATTCCATGCTCTCGTGACACCTTTCCCAGCGTGAAATGCCAGACTTATCTGGCCCATCTCCGGAAAGGATCGAAGCGTAAGACGACTATACCGCTCAAAACAACCACCCCGGATCTCTTCAACGCCCAGTACGCCGGAGCAAAAACGCCGCCTCAACGCAATTCCTGCGTTCCCCAACTATGCCCCCCACTCCTTGGTTTTACGAGCAATCCCTGAAGTACCGCTAGTCTTCGTCACTCTGGACGCCGCTGCTTC